AATGGTGATCCATTGAGGTCCTACACACATAGGTGTGGGAGGGTCCTATAGGATCATTACACATATTACATATATTAAATATAAATCTTTCCATATTTATAGAGGGCTTGGCTTGGGCGGCTTGATTGTTTTAGGCAGGGCTCAAGCCTCATTATCATGAATTTGGGGATGGCAAAGGCCTAGCCAAAAACTAAATTTTAAGCTTGAGGCTACCTTCCACTTTCTCCAGTCTAGCCAACTATGTCTTCAACCTAGGGCTACGCTCAAGTCAGGGCTGGCCTTGCCCATTAACCATTATACTTATATACATTTGTTGAAGTAATACTATAAGGGAAATCCAATAAACATTAAGATAGTCAGTGACCCAACAATCTGAATGTTACTGTGGTGCATATTCTTTGCAGATGTCATAGTTTTGATCGATGAGACTCAAAACGGTATCAACACAAAATTAGAACTTTAAAGAGATGCTTTAGAATCTGAAGGTTTTAAAATTAGTTGGAATAAGTTAGAGTTTATGGAATGCAAGTTTAGCAACAAAAGGAGTAGAGATAAGCAAGTTATGATTGATAGCCACGAAATACCAAAAAGAGTGCACTTTTGCTATCTTGAATCGATAATAAAAGAAAATGGAGAGATTGAGGAAAATGTCGCATATAGAATTAGAGCTGAGGCAAAGTGGAGATAGGCAACCGAAATTTTATGTGATCGCTTCATATCAATCAAGTTGAAGGGCAAGTCTTATAGGATAGATGTGATACTAGCTTTGCTCTATGGGACAGAATGATAGGCGGTCAAAAAAATAATATACATAACGAAGAAGTGTAGCGGAGATGAGGATGTTGAGATGGATGAGTCACATGACAAAAAAGAATAGAATTTGAAATGAATGCATTTGGAAAATTTAGGTGTACACTAATAGACGATAAGATGAGAGATAGTATAATTAGGTGGGCTGACTATGTCTGTTACAAACTCAGCACAACACCTATTAGGAGGTGAAAGTTAGTTCAAGTGTAAGACTCAAAAAGTTCAACAGGTATGTCCAAAGGACGTGATTATAAGTAGTAAGAAAAGATTTAGAGATTTATGGCCCCATTGAAAAGTTCAACAGGTATCTCTACCTCGTACTTGACAAAAGCCTCTTTTGCCCATCTCAATGTTTATTTGTTTGACAAGGGGTTTTAATGAGCTCTTCAAAGAAGCTTTGTTTTCAAGCAAATAATCAAACATTTGCACTTTTATCTTTTTTGAGAAGTTTATTAAAGAAAATGCACTCAAGAAATGAACTATTTAGCTTTTTACTTTTCTTTTGCATTGAGGATGACTTTTTATTGAAAAAAAAGTTTTTTGTTTTTTTTGTTTTAAATAAAAACATCCCATCAAAATACATGTGCTTGTGAGTTGGAATAGTTAATTTTAAATTATTGATAAATTAGATGTATTTTGATAAATTTCACTTCCTCTTTTTAAAATGAGAAAAATGAGAAGACTTAAGGGTGAGACGATTCCTTATTTTTAGAAGTCCCAAGGGTTTTCACTTTGAATACGGATGCAAGTTCATCTAGGAGGTTTGGGAGACAGTCTTGATCAGTATACATCCAATTTTCGTTTTGTAAACTGCTTATTGCCATCGCTTAATCCAAGGCCTCGCAGTTATAGTTCTTTTGATTGTTTAAGAAAATGATTTTTGGAACAAGAGAGCTCAAATAAGTGGATAATTTATGGAATTTTCCACAGGTCATTACGCAAGGTTGCAATCTTATATTATATAAGTAAGACGTACTAATGTACTTCTGCGGGAGCACATGATAGAGCTGTACATAGGTATTTTTTATTTGAAGTTTTGGGATCCTATTTGTAATCACTGGATGAGTATTTTCAAAGCAAAATAAAACAAACTTGGCTTTCCGAACACTTCATTTAACCGGTCATATTTTCAAGTGTATTTGTTCAATTCTAAAAATATTTCTTTTCAGGCACACAAAGTGGATATTTTTGTGCTTTCTCTTGGGTGTTCAAGAGGTTAAAGAGGTTGCCTCTTCAAAATTGGGGGTTTACCTAGGGATGTGAATGTGCCGTATGCTCCAACAGGAGGCAAAAGTTTTTTCCCTACAAAAAGTGGATTTCGTTTGTATTTTTTTATGGAGAATTTTAATAAATACCCAAAGAGATAAACTATTCAACAATTTATCCTTTTGGTACTATTGAGTTCAACAATTATTCTTTTTGGAACTATTCCAACTCAAGACCATTTGTTATTCTATGGATATTTTGAAATTAAATCATAAGTTATATCATATAGCTAAGTATTAAATTGTAGTATAGGTAGTATATTAAATTGTTAATCTCTCATAGGTAAAAAGTCACCCTACTTTTATATTAAGAAATCATGACCTTCTCATGAATGCCAAAGATGAAAACTAGGACCCACCAAAAGAAATCAGGACTTTCTCATTTCATGCTAGTGGAATTACTATGAGGTTCCATGGTCCACTAGACTATAGCGAGCCTGACAGAGATGAAGTGCAGCTCAGAACAAAATCTTGGTGACCATGATAAGACGAAATTATTTTCTTTGCAGTTGGAAATGGTTTCAAAAGTGGGGCTGTCTAAAATAGAGTTGGAAGAACGGGTAGCATTTTGCTTTAGTGGGTTTTAAGGGGCAGTTTGGTTGTTTTTCCACAAATGTGTGCTCCATTTTTATTTTTTTTGGTTGGGTAAAAGTGACTAGGGAGCAGGTACCCCCACCTGTTGTATTAATATGCGAAATAAATACAAAGTGTATATACAAGAAATAAGAATAGAATAAGAAGTTTATATGTACAAGTATCCTCACTACAGTGCTCACTTATGGCTCTTGTTGTGAGGGGAAAATTCTTGTGTTATGTCTCTCACCTCTCACCTCTCATTCTTTGGGAATGGCATGTGAATATATTTTTTTTCTGGGTGAGTCAGTGGCGAGAGGCCCTTTTGTAGGAATTGAACCGTTGCAAAATCTCAAGCGCTAACCAATTAAGCCCCAGCTCTTTTCCTACTATAATGATGTTTTGAATCATCTAGAAATTTACTTTTCGAACCAATTGGCCATGAGAAGTGGCAAATGAGTGAGTGTTAAATCTCAAAAACACTGTTTGAAAAGTGCGAAGTGGTCATGACTCTGATTCTACATTGGATTGTGAGAAGCCTATTTTCGGTATGCCAACGATGATGGTGAGAGGGAATCCAAGTGCCCCATCATCTCGCGCTACTTCTTTTGGTTAGGTTTGTTGGCCCAGAGGAAGGCCCTTTGGAGATTTTCATGGGTGTTGGTTGTGCTAGTATGATGCTTGTATATACAACAGCCGTGAAGAATGATTGGAGTGAGTTAGGTATTTATGACGCCTAATCTTCCTGGGTATGAAAGGGTTTCAATTTTCCAACCTTTAAGCCTAGACATAAATTTATAGAAAATGGTTATTTGTGAGCCTTCCTTACTTTTTTTAAGTTTGGAAAGAGTTTTATAGAGCTGAGGCTCTAAACAATCAAATTAAAGCTCACCTCAAAAATTTCACTATAAAAGGTTGTTTTGATACCTAAATATCCTCAAATTGATCATTTCGACATCAAGATACATGGACATGGAAAAAAAATATGGTTTTTAAATTTTGAAAATAGTTCATCTTTTAACGCATTTTTGGACCGACAATTTTCAAGATTTTCAAGTTTTCATAGATATGTTCAATCAATCTACACTATTTTTTAAGCTTTAAATTTTATAATTAAAGATAAAAATATATTTTAAGACTATTACAAAGATTTCTAGTATTAAAACCATATTTCTCGACACTATTTTGAAGGTGCACATTATTTTATTTTTTAGAGACTAGGCTCTATACAATTGGTACCCTTAAGATTTGTACCCCCTTTTGTGCAACCCTCAATTTGTTTGCCCTTGGATTTCTTTTAATTTCCTCACTTTCTTTGTGCTCGATATACATGGCGATGAATTCGAATGGCTTAGGGCCCCAGCCATCGTTCCATTTGGAATAGGATAGGGTTAATGTTTGAGAGAAGGTTATCAAACTCGTTAGATCCAGTGAGGCACGAAATTAAGGATGACAGGAGAATGAACCTTCTCCATTAAAATTTCTTTTCATGTGATAAAAGGTGGGGAAATATGAATCTCCTTCAATTTTCTGATAAAACTCACAAAATAAAATTGCCATCCTGCATGCATCAAATTAAAGGTTTAAGAAGATAAACAGATGGGTAAATCAGCTCACCTTTCAATCATCATCAATGCCTTTTCTCAACTTAGCTAAACCTTAAATGAAAACCACAAATTTTGCTTACCCCATCCAAATTTCATGTTTTCCCGAGAGTAGAAAAGCATTGATCGCACTTTAAGCTTGAAGCACAAATTTTGAGATGCTTCTTGACGAGAGGGCACTCATCAAAGGGACATAGGGACTTCAGAGTGGTTAAATGATGCTTCTTGACGGGAGGGCACTCATCAAAGGGACATAGGGACTTCAGAGTCGTTAAATGATGCTTCTTAACGAGAGGGGACTCATCAAAGGGACATAGGGACTTCAGAGTGGTTAAATGAGTGGTCCAACTTACGCCACACACAATCAAGTTAGCTTACTGATTTTGTTTTGGATTGCCATGCAAAAATAAAAAGGCAAAAAGGAATGATCTCACGTCACGCTAGAATACCATGTTTGTGGCATTTGTATAATCCCAAATTTTGCACTCTCTTTATCCTAATAATCAATTCCCGAAAACAACAAAATTCAACCCTAGATATGGTCAAAATATCCAACAGTGAATCTAAACCATTCATTTGACAAATTTCAATTTTTGAGACTTTACGAATTCAAATTAATTTTTGCTTTTTTAACATTATTGATCTAATAGTAACGAAAAAAAATTTATTTCCAAAGCATAGATCCAAACTTCCTACTTAAATGGACAGACCATATTTAAAAAACATTTTTTAAGGTGTGCTTTTTAAATGAAACACTGAAAGTAACCCATCACATTCTAATTGTCGTTTCCATTGGTTGCCCTGAAAGAACATCATATAAAAAAACAAGAAAAATATAACCATGGATGGGTTCGTCCTGAACCTGCAACACAAGAATATGAGTTCCGAACCACCTGAATCCTATGCATATTCAAAAATTACAGACCAATCCTCAAGAGAAAGACATAAAGAAAACCTTTTTTCTTTTTTTCCGGGGTGGTGGGGGGTGGGGATTAGGATACAAGACCCAAGATCCCCACAGTTCAAAAGAAAATGAAGAGTTTACTCTTCCATCGCATCCCCTTCAATGATCTCAACCTTCTCCTTCATAGGGGTGATCTTGGTTGAAAGAACCTCTGCAGTAAATAAACGAAATCCTCCAAATCAGTTCAAAGCGCCAAAGTTTTGTTATGTAGGAATGGAACTTGAATTAAATGCACCACATAAACATGTCCAAATCAAAGGTTTTCAGTCGAAAGGAAAAGTTTCCCTGGTGTATGGTATTGTGGTGTATAATATATGGTACACTATTGGTTGATCTAAGGGTGGCAACAGGCCAGGCAAGTCTGTGCCCTTGTCCCCATAGGGCTGCTGCAGGCCTAGTCCTGGCATTGTTAGACCCGGGCCAGGCCACATGTAAATAAAAAAATAAAAATAAAAAACAGAAAAAAAGTGAGCCGGCTCAGCACTAGCCGTAGCTCAGCCCTCGTGCCATAGTTTGTGACCCAGACCCTACATTTTTAGGGCCGGGCCAACCAGCCCATTGCCAGCCCTAGGTTAATCCACCATACATGAACCAAAGTTCTCAAGTACAGGCACTCATCAGGGAACAGTTAATCTCCATCTTTGGTCATCAGGAAATGCTAGAGTGGTGCATCACATAACCAAACACCCCTGGTGCATGGTATACTCACGCCCATTGAAAATACGCAATGTGAGCACATCGAAATATATAGACTGAAAGTAACACAATAAGACTTAGAATAAGCAGGAAAAATTACTCACCAGTTTGCCCTTTAGTGAAAGAATATCCCCTTGTACTGACATATGTCCGAGGATTTGGAAGCTGATGGTTCCTCAAATAGTCCTTGCCATCCTGTTTTGACAGGAATTCAACATAGAAAACCATGCATCAGCAATTCATACTGTGGCACATGCCCTCTCTTCCTCATGCCCCTCCCTCCCTCTGTATGTGTGCGTGTATGGGGGCATGCTCGCATGAGCTAATGGATTAGAAATCAGATTACAAACCTTAGTTATCACACAAACATCAACGTTGCTTCCACTACCCAAGTCATTGAAAATACCAGAACATATGGCATCACATACAAGTTTTATTCCTTCCTCTCTCTGCAAGGACAAATGAGTTAAATTAGACATTCACAGCAACTAAACTTTGAATTACATGTTATTTGAACTTGCATACACCATATCTACGAAAATAGAGTAAAAGCTTCTCCTACTAGTTCAACAAAAGAAGCAAACGAATCTTAGGGAGTGTAATTTGAAGACATAAGGACAAAAGGAGTCTATACTTGGATAGTAAGCTACTGTGAAGGGAATAAGAACAAAGGATAAAAGTTCAATGAGTTTTGAGCAAAGACTGAGAAGAAGATAAGCCAGCACCTGACGGCAATGGCTCTACAGATGAAAGGAGAAAGGAATACTAGCTTTTTTCAGGAGCAAGTACAAGACAGACATCAGAGAAGATACTGCAAACTGAGGTGCATAAAAGCGGTTTAACATCCCCACTTTGATCTCATGTGCAATAGTGAATTTCCACTAGGTTAGGATCAAAGTCTCAAAATGTTGTCTGGATGGGTTAGCAAGTAGGAAAACCACTAAATATCAACAGATTACTCAAGAGGGAATTCCCGATCACTTGGGAAATAGGTGAATATTTGAAGAAAATGAAAATTTCTTATAAAATTTTCATATTACAGACATGTAACCATGTACATGGGAAGTATGGCACTCTGACATTGATGTAAAACTGCCGATAAATTTATCTATGTATTTCTCAAAAAAATATTTAGAAAAAGTAACTAGCTTTATAAAAGAAAATTGAACTTCCAATTCTACCTCTCAATTATCTATGAAAATAAAAAGACACAAATACCCTAAAAGAAAACTAGAAACCCAAATAACCCCCAAAACTAAATTCCAATCCCCAAAAAAACTTAATTAAAAAAAAAAAAGCTAATAGCATCGATACAGGTCTTGTAAATTGTGAAGAATATTGGACCTTGCAAATTTAATTTGAGACTGATGTGAAATTGCTTTTCACTCTTAAATAAAATATTGCCAACCAAACAAAAAAAATGTTGCATACTGTGGAAGGGAGTATCAGACCAGCATCAGCACGGATTGATATAGGACCAACTCTAAGGGTGCTTTCTACTTGAAGGGACCTTACGGAGGAAGATATAGGATTGCAATTTTCTATTTTTAAAATGAAAAAAACCTCGGGCTGAGATGGCTTCCCATAAACTTTCTTCCAATAATTTCACAATATTCTTAGAACGTTATGAGGCAGTTTTTAATGAAGTTCTACGAGAAGGGAAGGATGAAAAAAGGGACGAGCAGAAAGTGAATGCGCTTGACCAGATAAATCCCCAAATCATAGAACGACAGATATTAGGGACTTCCAAAGTTTTTTTCTGGATGAGCTAACTATTCTATTAAGAGATAAGACAAGGAAAGGATTACAAGGTGTCAAAAAATAGGCTTCCCGCAAGCCGGGCACTCTATAAAAATAAGCTTCCCACAAATCAGGAGCTCTATACAAAAAAGAAAGGCTGCTGAACAATGGTGCAGCCCTGTACAAAGTCAGTCACCGAGACAGTGAAAAAATAACAAAGATCAAAGGGGACAACCAACGCCTTTGAAAACCAAAGAGAAAAGTTGGGGGCTACAAAAGTCCTGCCGCTGTGTTGAGTGTACCCTCCTTAGCAAGGGTGTTGGCTGCTGTGTTGGCCTACCGCCAAGTATGTCTCCATGAGACGACCACAGGGCCGCAAATGTGAGTGATCTCGTCAAAAATATGAACAAGAGCCCAAGGGATACACGAGGAGCCCAAGGGATACAGGAGGAGCCCAAGGGACACGGGAGGAGCCCAAAGCCCAGGGAATAACGTTCATGGAGTAACCCCCGACGATTAGATTGGATGTCCACTCAGGATTTGCACTCTTTTTTTAGGGGTGCGTCAGGCCCCTGCAGTAGTGCAATGCATGGGCGACGCCCAAGGGACCCACTAGTAAGCTAGTATGGTGGTCCCTCCCCCAGAGAAAAATTAATTTAACATCATGACGTTCATTGGACCACATATCAGATATTAAACTGATAAGAACTTAACATCATGAGGTCCATTGGACCACGTGTTAGATATTAAACTGATAAGAACAAATACTAAACTTGATCTTAGCCAAAAGGCGAAGAAGGGGAGAAAAATTCTTCTTACTAACATCAAAGAGGTGTCTGTCAGGATAAGCTTTCTCCTTAGACACAAGGTTTACTCATTGAAAGCAGATTGTGATTTCCACACAAAAAGCAAAAAGCTCAAATTTTGTATAGGGCGAGAGGGAAATGATTTGTAACTAGTTGATAACACATAACTTGTTTTGAACAATTACTGAATCTACATGGTGCCCTAGATTCAAAAAATGCCCTCTCCCATTTGGTAAGGGAAAATATATTTTAATCCTAATTCATAAGCACTAAGGAAAAAGAAATAGACCATATGCTTTCTCATTGGCATAAGGATTGGGCTTGGTCCACAGCTTGATACAGTGAAGGAAGAGTGAGGTGAGACTGACATTTATTTATGTGGATAACAAACTAAATCAACATGGTCTTCAATTTATGAAGTATATGTTACCTCATTCACGAGAGTATCTAAACATGGAACTGCACTATAGCCATACCACATAACAGACTTAGGCAACAAACAAGCCTTTCTCTGAACTACAGAATTACCCACAATACTTTAACATGAGTCAAAGGTCAACTTGAAAAATTCAATGAGCAAAGCTTTCAGGCCCGACTTGAAGAATGTGTTAGGAAAATCTCCTATCTCAGGTAGGTATTATTCCAACTCCTACTTTAATTGGCATTTCTTTTTTTCTTGAGGGGTCAGGCTGGGGGAGGGAGGTGAGAGGATTGGGGCATAATAGTGAATAACAGCGAACCAGCAGCCTGAGAGATCTAGTGATGGAGATGATCATAAGGAGATTAACATGTCAGAAAGTAAGACATCTCAGCCAAAGATGGCAAACAAGAAGGCCCTTTTGTCTAAACTCCAAAATACCGGTTTACTCAGAGGCATTAGACCGAGTGATCATAGTGGTAGAAACAATTGGTTTATTGCACCCAGATTTCTTTATGATGGGAAAGAGATAAAAAAGATTTTAAATAATGCAAGTATATAACAGTAATGCAAAAATTGATCTCAGGTGCAAACCACCTAAGGCACTTGGGTTTGGCACCCTACAATGTCCGAATAAAAAAAAACAAAAAAACCAAAAATCAAGCGACTCTTACAAGCCCTGCCCCCCTTTTGTAATTTCACCAATAGACTCTGGTGATCGGACCTCTGATTCGGCCAATTCAGAGGCTTACACAGGCTGGGGACCCTGGCAAGTCGAAGCCTAAGACCTTGTTCTCAAATACTAGTATATACGTCACATCAAAATAAAGGACTTGAGGCCAAAAATATGAAGGAACTCAACAAGGCTCTCCTAAAAATATAGGTAATGATGGGTGGTATATCCATGAAGAAATAGGCACCAACAAGGGGCTCTATCTTGAGGGATGAGAGATGGCTAGGAAGAGAAGGGAAAGGTTTCAATGCTTCCCCTACAGCATAGAAGTTCTATCCTCCCCCCACCATCCAGCCGTCCAATTTTGATCAAGAGAACCACTCACTATTTGATCTTAGATCCAACGTATCAAAGTATTTTAGTTTTAGTTTTTTTTATACAAGTTGTATGAATATGAAATTTGGTACATGCCATCTTCTCATTGGGGCGCACCTATAAAAAATATTAAAAATAATTTTTCAATAAAATATAATGACCAAAATACCCCTTGAAACTTTTAGGGGTATTTTGGTCATTTTATTTTATTGAAAATATTTTTTTATATTTTTCGCTAGTGCGAGTTTAATAGAGGAATGGATATCCAAAATTTGGTGTCAAAATAGTTTATAGAAAAAAATTAAAAATAAAATAGTACATAGACATGACATTGTGATTGGGGCCATCTTAGCCCTCCATTCAGAATGCAGGGTTGGATAAGGGCGAGGATAGAAAGCTTGCCCAGAAGAGAAACATGGGGAGGATATGGCAGACATGGCATTTCATAAGGTGGAAAAGTTTAATTGGAAATCTACAGTAAGGTGAGGAGGACATCATTTACGTATGGACTAATAGCATAGATATTTTGTATTATATTCATCAGGCAGTCACTTTAGGGGTGTGGGGTACCTAAGGTTCGGTATAACAGACAATTCTAAAAAGCATAGAATTGATCCAATTGAGGGTAGTAAAAGAAGTCATTCCCTTTGGCCTTGTAAAAGGCGGATCGTATTTCTGACACAGTGGTGGCAAATACACATGTTAATGACAAGGCAGTATCCACCATTTAATTGCTATTTATTTTCCAAGATTTGGGTAAAAACATAGACAGGACAATGATGGGGGACCGAGCTTGTGAGAAGGGTTTTTAACTTAATTGGAGATTCACATATATTCTTAGAAATACAACTTAGCTTAGAAACAATCTGCACATTTTTATCGTGAAGTTAAGAAAATGATAAAGAAACTACCAACGATAGTGTAAATAACAGAGGGAAAGGTCCTGGAACATCTTCCTCTGAGGAGGTCTGTGAAGATCTAGCTAGATTTTTACATAGAAATAAAGGAAGATCATCCTATTATTAAAAAAAAAAAAAAGAGGTCTCTTTGGGTGATTATCCAATGAGCAGTTCACACTCAAAAAAAAGAAGACACGGCAGCATGTGAAAGTCCTAAGGGAAAAGCTCTCAATTCGAGGTCTCTTCATAAAACTTTATCTCTTCAAAAGAACTGCAAACAATATTTAAATAATGAAAAACAAACAAGAAATATTGCTTTCAAAGATAGGAATATTAGCAGTTATAAAATACAGAAGCACGCACCTACTAGTGGTACGCTTAAGTAAAAGTTTCAAGCACTGTCAGATATTGATGAAATTTATCACAATCTGGATGAGAGAACATTGAAATGAAAATTCATCACCAGAACTTACTGTCATGCCCTCTTTGTATCTCGACTCAAACATCGCCATAGCAGCTAGCGAGCCAGAACCCATTGTAGCAAATGGAAGAGTGTCAGTTGATCCATGTGGATATATCTGCATAATATCAGCAACTGGTCACAGATTAACATTGCGACATGTAATTGACAAACATAAGAAGTATCATCAAATTCCAAATATTTTTGCAAGAACAATCAAACGAACCGTGTGAAGATGAGGTCCAGTGACATCAACACCACCAAGAACCAAGGCAGCACTTACATGTCCTTGGTAACTGCACCAAAGTATCACAACATCAAAATATAACATACCAAATAAAGCAACCAATGCATAAACGTCTAATAAAAAGGAATTCGTAAAATACAGATAGAAAGAGTACCTGAAAAGGTGAGACTTGAGAAGGGTAAGGGCTGTTATCACCCTTGACTCTCGGCCAGTAGCATAACGGTGTAGGGCAAGTTGAGAACTAACCATATCTGAAGAAAACAATAGAGCAGAATAAATTAGAAAGCGTCACAGTAATTTAAGCATACCAATACCATACAAGCTCGCTCTCTGTAGGGGTTTGTTACAATAATTAAAGGGTTAACACTAATAAGAAGCATCTATCTTGAACATAATCAGGTTCAAATCACACAGAAAAATATGAAGAGCGCATCATATGCAGTTACCTGTAACTGCCTCTGTATCAGCAGCAGTTCCCGCACCGCAACAATAAATGTTTGGCGCCATATAATGGATCTTTTCACAATTTTTATCACAAACAATGGGTCCTTCAGTTGCTCTTGTATCTGCCCCAAGAATGACACCATCCTGTCCATAAAAGAAAAGAATAAGTCACAGATTACTCAAATATGAAGGGATTATAGAGAAGCTTACCACTATGAATTAAGGCAATCACAAATTTCAAACTAAATAAAAAAGGTTGTGCCTTAATAATACTGAAAAATAGCACTTTCGCGATAACACATCATACTCCTTTTAGAAAATATAGATCCATGTAGTTTTCTCGTGTTTCTCAAATCCATTTCCAATAAAGAAAATAATAACGGCCAAGTCTGTCTGAACATAGAAAGCCTCTCCAAGGAAACCTCCTACGACTATTTACTAAATGGAATACGAACCACAAAATTGATACTCATTGAATCTCAGCCACGAAAAATAGAAATTTCAATTCACTTTCAATGAGTTCGAATGCAGCAGTTAATTTTTTAAAGATTGAAGGCTTAAGTTTGCCCTGGCCTCATGATTTCTTTCTTGTCTCAAGTTCTTATTTTGATAACAGAATACTCGAAACTTTACATTTCCAAACTTGAAACAAAAATATTCCCACCCACACAAGCTACATCCTAGTTACCTCCATACACACACATATTATTTTCGACTACAAAAACTAATAGATGTGTAAAAGAATAAACAGTGTAATAAGAATATTTGATATATATGTCACCAGAAGAAAAAGATATATACCTTAAAGACAAGCCCGACAATTGTGGTGCCAGTCTTCCGAAACTTGGGCAGCTCAGCCCCTTTCTTTACAAGCATCTCATTTCTTCGGCAGAGATCAAAACTGAAGCCACCCTTTGGAGGAACGTCAACAGCAGCCTTAGCCATTAATGCAATTAAGCTGCAAGCATACATATTGCATAAAATACAATCATGACAATGGAACCGCATTAGAAAGTATGCACCAGTGCATCATATGTAGAAGACTGAAAGTTCCGGAAATTAGACAATACAAACATATAAAGAATGCATCCATATAAAAGAAATATTTTTGATAGGAAAGATGTCCAAGACCCACTGACGTTAATTCTTTTGCAAACAATAAAGTATCCTATTGTGTTTTAAAAATCCTTAACTCATAAGAAAAATTTATAATTTGAGAGGGAAGATAATATTTATTTGTATCCTCCTCAAGGAAAAGAGAGCTTGAGATAAAATGCAATGAAAACTTCAACGATTTAGTAAGAGTACACGCCACTGTTGGAAAAACCAGGGGATCTAACCACTAACCGCCCAGTTACATCAGAACCAGCCATTGTCCGGTTCCAGTTTTGAGCGGTTTTAGTGTTCTAAATTAGAATTATAGGGTATTTAAAGAAAAAACATTCAAAAAATTGTATATAAATTCTCAAAAATAAGGAATTTGATTTGTAATGCATTTTTTAATATTCTTTACATTATGGTAAAGATTAAAAATCGTTTTGGTCATTAATACTCACTTTTATATTTTACCATCTTTTTCAAAAAAATTTAAAAATACCCCTAGGCAGAAATTGATTTGTTAAACTTCATTTTTTTTCTTTCTTATATGCTTTTTATATTTTAGTAGATTTTTTTTTGTATCTTTTTTATTTTTTTCGACACTTTTTTGACCACCCGGGACTTGCCCGGTTAGAGCGATTGAATTAGCCAGTTTACCGGCCAAAACTGCTTCCGGACCCATGTCTGGTTAATCACTCCGGTTCGATTTTGCGAACACTGGTCTGTGCAGACTTACACACTTACACAAAAGCAATATTATTAAGTGAGACATGAGACATACAAATTTCCAAGTATAAAGGCAAAATCATTGTAAGGGAGGCAATGCTGAAAATCTGTTTTGGAGTTAAACAAGTTTGTGGAACATTATAACAATACAGCAAGCTAGCATGGTTTACAAAGATGATGGAATGGGCTTCTATATGGGTAGTAAGGCTTGTTTGTACAACATTCGGAAAGTAGTACGATAACAATTTCTCATTTATAGATAGATATAATGTAAAACAGATTTGATATGTGTATAACTCATAACTTGCTTTAATAACATTCAATCTTCATTATAATGCAAAAATGTCATTAAATTTCATGTTGTCATACAGTCATAAAAGATTCGACTTCATATTTGTTGTGAAATATACTAACAATGTATTCGCAATATTGCAAACCAAATAACATTGGACTTGCATTGCAATCAACAATCACCAATCATACTAGTTCCTTTAAATTCCAAAAGATAACTAATTTCATTCGAATAGAATTCAAAACTTTGTTGGCTATCCAAGAAAACCACTAACACCATTCAAGATTAACCCAAAATTATTTATTCCAATAACCATATGCAAAAGCACTTCCTAGAACAACATAACCAAAAACATCAATTGGCATAAATTTTAAGGTCTGAAGTACAAATCCTCAATTATATTACCATAATCCAGTGAGAGGGAGAGAGAGAATTCAAAATGACAAGACAGCCAGGCGGATGCCCGCCCAGCCCAACCTCGTCTGAATGCTGAAGAAATTTTATCCTTTATTTTTTCTTGCTTTAAACCAAGCCCTTAATTTCCACTATTGAACTCGCACAATAAATAAAACCACATGAAACTCAGGAACATCAATGTCTTAGATTTGTAATTTGGATAAAACACATATATAATCAATAAAAATACAGGTACAGAGAGAAAGAGAGTCTAGACTACGAAACATGGAACTTTAACATGAAATCAATGGCAGCACAATTTACTTTGTAAACCCATTAAATCCACAAGGGTTTTATAAAAGATCCAATAGAATAAAAAAAATAAAGAAAAGGCATATGGAATTCATCAAAAACAACAGCTAGACATATAATTTGATATAAAGAAACTGACATATATATATTTGTATATATATATATATATATATAGAGAGAGAGAGAGAGAGAGAGAGAGAAAGAGTAAAATCTGTAATGTATAGTCGAAGTTTAATGAAGTACATGAAAGTCAATAGAAAGACAATCCAAAGTAAATACAAGAGTCACACATCATTCTTCTAAATAAATCACACAGTACCAAAAATACAAAACTCATCAAGTCAACAAGCAAACATGCAATTTTAAATAAAAGGACCCATATAAAATCAATAACACCTTCGAGAGAGAGAGAGAGCAATCATCTAAAATTGCAAAACAGGTAATCTTACTGACAAAATTCAATGGAGTACATGAATCAATAGCAATACAATCCAAAGTAAACCTCATAATGTCAGGACGAGACCAGTGACTGAACTGGTCAGGGCATTGGTCCAATCAGACTGGCTCAACAGGGCAGTTCACCGGGTGGACCAGTCTATGAAATTAAATAATTAATAAAAATAGTAAAACAAGGAAAATTTGGGGAAAATAAGAGAAAAAGAGGATAACATAAATTGAAAAAACAATAAAAATTTCATAGTTTCTTCTTCTTCTTCTTCTTTTTTAGAAATTTTAAAAATAAATAAATAAATAAAGAACCCAAACATATTTATTTTAAAAGCCCTTACAAGTTATAGTATTAAAAGCGAAAACCGTATATGTAAAAAAATTTAGGAATTTTCTACTCTTACAAATTGTAAAAGCCCTACAAAATAACCTAAAACTGCAATCAGCTATGAAAAATACAATCCAAAATTGTTAGAACCCTAATTTCCTAAAACCATAGTGGCAGAAACATATTTGTTATTGCATTTTCTAAAGTAAAATACTAAATATTGAAGTATGTTGAAAAAGATCTCACCTACCAACAGGGATCTCGCCGGAATCCCACTGTACTGACAGGAAAGCTCACCGTAGAGCTTCGGCTGAGGCTTGGCCAGTTGATCGTTAGAGAGAGAATCCACTTAAAGCATGAAGCCTCCTCTCTCTTAATTTCTTGATAAAGCCTTCCCGCTTACGTTTTAGCCAAAAGATACTGTACCCACGCGGGAGCAAACTATCCATTTGCTCCTTCGCGCGAAACCCCATTTACTGTTAATTTTGGACCCTTTTTTACTTCTTGTAAGGCCTAGTTTTTATGAAAACAAAGTAAAGCCTCATCTTGCATCCTCATCCAGAAAACACATTGGGATCAGAAACATCCATAATGGTTTTAAAATCAATTTTGAACACTGAATAAAATTTGGAGCTCAAATATTGTTCAAATCTTGTGGATCCATGAATACTTAATTTTAGGGCAAACTAAACAATTTAGATTTATATGTTACAATATGTATTATTTTTAGGGCTTTAAATCCTCTTTTTTTTCCACATGCATGGTCAAAGTCTAAGATGATCGATTTGAAGATTTTTTAACATAAGAACTCCAATTTCATTGAGTTTTGAGGTGAGGCTTTATTTATTTTGATAGGTTGCACTCCTATCAAAATATTTTCCGACCTCAAATTTTGGGGATGTACCAGCCTTTTAGATTAATCTCAAGAAAAGAAAGTTCTTAATGATATTCTCCAAGGTTTTAAAAAACAAATAGCTGATCTGGATTGCAAACTAGATTTCCAAGCATGTTGGCGATCCAGATTAGCGAACGGTTCATTACAAATTAAAAAAATGAAATAAAATAAAATAAATGGAGCTAGTTCTAAAAGTACATGTTGTTTTGTAAGAGGAACTAGCCCAGTTTGGCATTGATTCTTGATCTACATCAAATATCCGGATCTGTATTTTTTAAACCTTTGTACCTTCTATGCCCTTGAAAAAAAAAATCTTAAGATCGAATCGAAATCTTTCACGAGATTTACATGTAGAAAACTCAAAAATCAATATTTTTTATTTTGAAAATAATAATTTAGGGGCTTTCCAAATATTGAGATCGAAAAAAATCCTCCAAAAGTAGATCTTCTGACCAAGGGAGAAGGCATATTTTATGCACCCATACAATTTTTCTATTTTACCATTCTACATGGCTATATATAAAGAACAGGGTGTATATAATGAAAATATTTACCTTTGGTACGATGTAAAACCTTTTTTTGTTTTTGAAAAACGCAAAAGAAGGAGAATTAAGTGTATTTTCTAACCCCGCCCCGTCCACTGCTAAACCGGTTAGTGTGCTAGGCCCCAGCTCATAACCGGTTTACTGTCTTCCGGTCGAACAGGGTCCATCGCATCCGATCGGGTACTTATAACATTGGGAGAAAAGCAATTTCACTAGCTTAACATGCCCTAGTAAACGAAGGAAAAAAAAGCACCAAAAAAATCAAAAACTTCTAAGTTGCTCATAAATTGCATTATTTGGAATACATATTTTTTACTCAATCTTCCGAGTCCAAAACTCCGCATGTTAAAAATACAAGAGCATAATCTCACAAATCCAAATTCTGAATCCTGATTAAAAAAAACTATAAAGAGATGGAAAGAGAGAAGAAGAATGCGAAGAAGAAGAACCATATGCCAATCTCATAAACCCTAAAATTGAACAGATGCCCCTTAAATTTCAACCACAAAAAGATCCCTGAGACAGTAAAAACCCTAGTTCTGAACTTTATCTCTGTTGCCTATCATAGAAAACCATGTTTCGACCTACAATACGCGATAAAATCCCTAAATTACGCCCAATATGTGTACACAGGAGGCTCATATTTCTTAAATTTAAATGGAAGATCTCCAAAAAAATCATCTACACCAAACAATGAATAATGAAAAAATTTAATAGTTTACTAAATATAGGGTTTAGAATTAGATTTACTAAAAATAAAGAAAAAAGGGATTTTTCATTGAAACTGACCTTGAATAGTGCGAAAGAGAGTCCTTTTTTACTTTCGGCAAACAGTGATCGAATGCCCCTCTTGTTTGAAGGAAATAAGAAGCCTGGTCTCTTGGAGAGGAAGTTCGCTTAGAAAAAGTTGAGCGCGTACTTGAGCTCCCGCAGGAGCAAAACAGTCGTTTACTCCCACGGGTAAATGACCTGCTGGGGAAGTTTTCTTAAAGAATGGGTTTTTAGAGTCAGCTGACTCCTATATATATGTGGGCCTCACTTAAACCTATCTTAAAAGGGATTTTTAATCTAAAATTGTAGGGATTCATCAAGGTTAAGATGATCCTGAATATGAAATAAAATAAAATTTTAAATATTCAAAATATGATTTTTAAAAAAAAAAATATCTACACTATCTAAAATCATTTTAGCCCTGTGGGCTTTTACAAGCAATGCCCAAGATGGACGTTGGTGAGTCAGCGGGCTGTTGCACCTGCTGACTTATTCATAACTTTTCCTTTTTAAAAACCTAAGATTTTGGAATCACATATCTCAAAATAAAATTTTCGAAAAGGGAAATTTAAAAAATGTTGTAGTTTGTATAAAGTTGCAACTTTAAACAATCAAAATAAAGCGCACCCTCAAAATTTTTCGTAAGATGTAATTTTGGTATCAAAATGTTTTAGGATGGCATAAGAATCTACTTTCACCTCTAATTATAAAATTTTAAAGTCCAAAAATGATTCAAATTAAGTAGAGGGTGTGGTTTGTATAATGCCGAGGCTCTAAACAGTTAAAGTAGAGCGCACTTTCAAATAGTGTCAAAAAATGTAGTTTCAATAATGAAAATCTTTGTGATAGCCTTAAAATATATTTTTATATCTAATTATAAAATTTAAAGCTTCAAAATATATGGATCAAGCAAATCTATGAAAACTTGAAAATATTAAAATTGACGGTCAAAAAATATGTTACAAGATGCACTATTTTAAAACTTGAAATCCATTTTGTTTCTTATATCCATACATCTTGATGTCTATATGATCAATTTGACGATAATTGAGCATCAAAACAACCTCTTCTAGTGAAATTTTTGAGGTAGGCTCTAATTTGAATGTTTAGAGCATTGGCTCTATATAAACGTTTTCCTTAAATAGATTTATAAACATATGAAAATATTGAAAATGAACTGTCAAGATAATGTGCTGCAAGATGTATTATTTTTGGGACTCAGTTTTATTTATTTATTTTGAATATGCATACATTTCGATGTTGAGATGATCAATTAGAGGGTTTTTTTAACATCAAAACCGATGGATTTTTTAGGTACACCTTAATTCTACGTTTTAAGGTTGCAACCTTATATAAACTTTTCTTTTAAGAAAAAGCATCCGAACTTTTAAATATTTTCCAAACTTTTAAATATTTTCCTCAATTTTTTCTTAATTATAGAAATCTCATCAAAATACACATATCATATAATTATAATAGTTAAAAATGAGTGAATGTTGCAAACAAAAAAAAAAACTCAAGTATATAAATATTTAAAATTGAAAATAAAAAATTGAGAATGCAGCACATGGATTTTTAAGGTAAAGTTTAAACACGTTTTTAAATATATGTAGAGTAAGAATGTTCCAATCCAGTTTTACATGAGGGAGTAAAAAGGAGAAGGAGCTCAATGGAAAATAATATGTTATTGGCTATTCTATACTTGTATCTATCTATCTATACGAATGTTTTAAAATTCATCTAGATCGGAAATAAATGGCATGGATCAAGAATCGGTACCAAACTAGTTCCGGAAGGAATCAATCCCGGCTCAGTCCCCCTCCTAAAACCCTCCATTTCATAACTATTTTTTTTAAAGCTTATTTATTGTTTTTTTTAGTTCTCTTTAAATATCCACTTTACAAACCCCTATTCTATTTTGATTTTTATTTTATTTTTAAATTTTTAAATATTTTATAGATTGCCAATTCGAACTTATCAAGATCGACGATGCATCGATATGACCAAGATCTATGGGGTAGACGATTCACCCCATCAATCCAGGTTTTTAAACATTGCTTTATAATATACTATATTATTAAGCAACAATTGCTAGAGAGAGTGTAGGGATGGCATTGCGATAGTTGGATCTTCTTTACTTTTGATAACAACTGATGTAGGGATAAAATAATATACAGAATAAAAAATAAAAAATGAATGACAGACTATAACCTATCTTTGGGTTCTTTTCACAAGATCAAGCTCTTTCTTTATTCATCATCTCTATCAGGAGGGATATCTACAAACTAAAAGAAATAATAAATAAAAATATAAAACTAAACCATATCTCTTCCTTAACAAGTCCAATGTATCTTAACTAACTCAACCATGCTAATCCCTATTCATATCTTTTATTTTTTTTTTTTAAAAAAAAACCTAAACTTTGAATTCTACCCCTTACATCTCTACAACTAAAAAAAAAACAAACAAGAATAACCCTAAAAATCTAAATAACATAATTTCAAAGTTCTAGAAAAATATATATAAAAAAATCACTTTTTATTTGTGTAATTCTCTATGGGTTTGGAGAAACTTGATCTCGAGTTTACATCATTCAGAGGTCAATCGAATAATTGGTGATGTAGTCCTACCATTATTCTGAGTACTTTATTTTCAATAAACCTTTTTTTTTTTTTGTTAAACAAAATGAAATGAGAAAATCTCTCACTAAAGGGTAAAGTCAATGGGGATTTGGGCACTACTATTTGGTGAGAATGGAGTTAGAAACTTCTTCCTGGGCCTCCACAATACTATTGCCGAAGCCCCAGCTCATTCTCAAAATAAAACCAATTTATCAAATACTTTGCGCGTATCTTAAAATATAACACTAGGATCTCAAGCTCAGTCATGATTTATTTTTCACGTTCTTCATAAAACTCAAGAAGATTGAGCTCAATACCAAGATCACGTAGATGCTCCTCAAATCGTGGGTTTTTGTATCACAATATGATCGATACCCTTAGTCAGCCGTGGGACGTAATTCATCTCTACAATCTAGTATCAGATCTTCATGGTTACGAGCACCCTCTTATCAAATAATAGTATTCTCCAACTGTTGCAACTACTGATTCATTTCACGAACTTCGCTTCGAACATTGTCTATGACTTTGATTAGATTTTCTAAAATTTATCCCATGTGATCATCCACATTAGGATTAGGTTTTTCGTGGCATTGCGATGGTTGGATCTTCTTTGCTTTGATACAAAATGATGCATGAACAAAATAATAAATAGGATAAAAAGATTAAAAAGGATGAGCGATTATATTATCTTTTTGAGTATGCAAGAGAGTCTACCCCAATATTTTTTTACAAGATAAAACTCTTTATTTATTCTCAAATTCACTATCTATGTAAATAAGGGATATATTTTCTTTAAATAAGAACGAAAAGAAATAATAAAAAAATAAAAAATTAAACTCTCTCACTTCCTTATTTATGCAATTTGTATAGAGCCTAGGCTCTAAACAATCAAATTAGAGCCTACCTTCAAATAATGTCGAGAAATGTGGTTTCAATATTGGAAATATATGTGATAGCTTTAAAATATATTTTTATCTTTATTTCTAAAGTTTAAAGCTTTAAAAATAGTGTAGATCGACAACTCTATGAAAAATTGAAAACCTTGAAAATTGACGGTAAAAAAAAAGCATTACAAAATACACTATTTTCAAAATCTGAAATCCATTTTTTTCTCATGTCCATGCATCTTGATGTCGAGATGATCAATGTGAGGGTATTTGGGTATCAAAACAAACCTTATGTAGTGAAAATTTTGAGATAAGCTCTAATTTGATTGTTTTGAGCCTCGGCTCTATATAAACTTTTCCCTTCTTAAAGAAGAGTCTAACATATCCTAATCAACCCAAAATACTTAAAAGTGAAATCATCCGAAGTATGCCTCTGAAGAGATAATATCTATTGGGATGTGTCCAACATTCATGAGTTGGGAGATGATAGCCCTTAGGCATAATCATCGTCCATTCCACCGTCATCTTGGGAATAAATGGTGCAGCGCTATATTTGTATACTGTATAACATACACACCTTAGGCATAATCATCGTCCAGTTCCACCGTCACCTTGGGAATAGATGGTGCAGCGCTATATTTGTATACTGTATAACATACACACTGTGTCCACTCTAAACACAAGCCATGAACGTCTACCTCAGCAACGTACGGCGGAGATGATAAGTGTTGCTGTCAAGTCTGAACTGTTCCTCAAAACGTATACTCATATGCACTGTCGGTTGACTAGGATGAATGGTGGATGGAAATCCAATACTATGATACACTAAATGTGTATATTAGTAAGAGAAAAAGTGAAGGGATAACGGCAATGCTCCCTTGCTCTCTAGCACTGACTAGTCAGCATTTTGTCATTGTCAGATAAGATGGCAGCAGTAGGGACCATTTGGTCACATTAAATGCATCCACTGCAGATTCTCTTCACGATCGAGAGAATCAATGGCGATTGCCTAGTGGATGTTCTTTACCAACGGTATTTGATTTTCCATTTTTATTGCAAATTTTTCATGAAAATTTCTGATAAAAATATGTTTAATGAATCAATGGCTCTTTTCTTTCTGTATCACTCTATTGGTGAGATGCTTATTTTGGACTACTGGTTTTTGGAACCCTAGGTTTCTGGAACGCAAGATTTTCAAGTTTTGAAACCGCAGATATCATCTAGTGAAAAGAAAAACAAAAAGAAACCCTAGGTATCAAAATTTGGAACGCTAGGCCTTTGAAATCCTGGGTTTTAAAGTTCTTTGACGCAATTTATGGAATTGGAGCTGATATAGTGTTCTGTTGAGGTAAGATTTATTACTTCGCTGACTGTTAATTTAGCTTTTGGTTTGTTGTGAGGGTTGGAGCTCAATTGAGGTTGTTGGGGAACTAGTAGCAGTTGTAGTTATTTAAATTAGGTTTTTTTTTCTCTCAAATCACTTCTGAAACTTTGATTTCATGTTCTTTTGAAGCTGAAATACTATTTACTTGGGGTGTTTTGTTCTCTCAGACTGTACTTTAGGATATATAATCTCTGTAAAGCAGTAAAATTTGGATTGAAATCAAAGTTTTTTCAGTAAATTGGAAAATGACTGAACAAGTGGTATTCATTATATCGGAACTAGCCTTTCTCTACTTTGAATTTGCAGTTTGTAAAGTGGCTTTTGGGTTTATTTTTCTTTTTTGTTTAAAATCAGGTGCATCTTATGTTGCTTCTAAAATTTTGGTTGTACACAGTTAAGGTAGTGAAAATGGACTTCTAAAGTTTGATAATAAAGAGCTTTTGTAGGTTTTCTGTGATTCCCATTTGTTTGGTTCAGCGATTCCATGAGATATTTGTATTTTTATCTAAATTCACAGGATATGGAAGATAAAATTCAGTGAATTGTGTTTTTTTATGCAGGTTTTCCTAAGAGCCAAGGCATTTTAGGGGTGGAAAAGTTTGTGGGTTTTGACCTTATTGTCATGGATTGGGAAAAGGCTTCAGATGCATATGGCAAGTTGATCAAAGATGGCAATGAGTCGATGAAAGTTAGAGCTACTATCGAGCTCGGGAAACTATCCAAAGATGCTCCGGAGGCCATTATTGAAAGAATAGTGCCACTTCTTGTTAATCTCTTAAATCTTTCTACTGGTGGTTCACAATTACTTCAAGAAGCAGCTGTTTTTTCTCTCAGATCTATTGCTCATCGATGTGATAAGTTCTGCATTTGCATTGGGGATGGTGGGGCTATTCCCATTCTTATGAGGTTGTTGTTGAACTCACAAGGTAGATTTCAGAGGTTGGTGGTAAAATGCTTAAGGGAACTAGTTATATGCACTCCCAGCAATCGAATTATTCTCGCTAGAAATGGTGGTCTCGAACCCATTCTTAACCTAATGTCATCTTCTTCGCAATATACGAAGCCCTATTTTGCAGAGATTTTAAGTTCATTGACTCTGTTAAGGGAGGTTAGACGGATAATTATCAATGTTGGGGGCCTTCTATCTCTCATTGAATGTGCTACAATAGGAATGATGGTTTCAAGAACAAGAGCTGCTCATGCACTTGGACTGTTGGGGATGACAAGAAGGTCGAGGAGGTTGCTTGTTGATTTGGGGGTTATCCCTGTATTGATCAATTTGTTACGAGAAGGCGATATGCCTGCAAAACTTGTATCTGGAAATGCACTGGGAATAATTTCATCTCATCTCGACTATCTAAGACCCATTGCCCAAGAAGGAGCTATCCCAATATTTGCTCAATTACTCGAAGGTTCTGAGCATATGGGTAAGGAAATTGCTGAAGATGTGTTTTGTATATTGGCTGTTGCGGAGGAGAATGCAGTGGCCATAGCTGGACACTTAGTTAGAATCCTTCAAGGGTCAAACGATGAAGCAAAAGCTGCAGCAGCTGATGTTCTTTGGGATCTTTCGAGTTATAAGCATTCAATATCAGTTGTTCGAGCATCTGGGGCAATTCCCGTGTTGCTTGAACTTTTGCAAGATGGGAATGCTGATGTTAGAGAGAAGGCATCAGGGGCTGTTGCCCAATTGAGTTATGATGAAGGGGACAGAGGAGCTTTGGCACAAGCTGGGATTATTCCAATCCTCATGAACTTGTTGAGAGAGGATTCGGAAGAGCTCAAGGATAATGCCGCCGAGGCGCTGATCAATTTCTCAGAGGACCCATTATTGAGAGACATGATATCGGGGGCTTTTGATATTCCTTCCTTTAGAAATATACAAGATAGGTTAGCTAGAGTTCAGTCATCTGATGAGCACACTGTTAGATCTTTGAGACTGATGAGCATTGAACAGTTCACATGGGATCCACAATTTGGTTAGTGGTTGTCATGTTATATTTTCTTGTGATACTGTTATATTGCTTGTTGATATATGGTTGTTCATATAAAAGCTTCATGCTTCCTTTACCTTGTTCCATGTTTTCAGAATGATCTCCTTTTCTTTGGCCTAATCTTGACTCTGAATTTGACCATGGTAAGGCAGCCAGTGTTTCAACTGATGCATCACTTATGCATGCTGTAGAACATCCTGTGTCATATTCCAATTTAAGCATTTAAAAGTACATAACATGAAATTACCAACATGTCCCTGCTTTAGTCTGTGTAAGTTTTCTGTCATGCCTGTGCTGATACCTTTTCCTATATGATTCAGCTTGTTGGGGTTCCTTTCTTCTTCTTTCTTACACTCAAGATTTCAGTGAAAAATATTGGGTGATAGGTTACATTTTTGCTGGGTCATACCTTCCTATATTTTATATACTGAAATCGTTCAATGATGTTTTCTTGATAACAAGTTGACTGAGGAAAATAATGGCAATTTGGAATATGCTACTTTCCCTGAGCATTCAAACTGGCCCTAAGATTATTCAAAAGGAGATGAAAGAGTTAAAATGCTATTAGAACCCTTCTAGTCCAACATTTGCATTTAAAGATTAAAATATAGAGACTTTTATGTTACAAATTTTATCTTTAATTGTAATGATCATTTGTTAAAGGCCATGCTTATATTTGCTGAATCTTTCTCCCCTTTCTACTATGTAATTTCATAAAAATATTATATATCCTTGTTTTTGTTATTAGTACCAATTTTTGTCAGTGATTATAAAAATTATGATTTTGAGGGCATGATGGGTAGGGAAGCTAGATTTATTTTAGAAGCTTTATAAATAGGATTTCATTTTAGAGATCTTGGATTAGGTAAGTTTATTTAATCTTTCTTTTTGTGGCAAATAGTTAATAATCTTTATCTTACTTTTGGTGGATATCGTATATTCTTTAGTGCATAATTGCTTTTAGAGGTTCAATGGTGTAGTTAGTTATGGTGCAGTTTATTATAATTGAAGAAGATCTCTAGTCTTCTCCTTAATGAGCCAAAGCACTCTCATTCCTGGCCAAATCAGAGAGGGCCACAAAGAAAATTTAATGACATAGGATATTTACATCTTTCATAGCGAAAGTTTGCCTGGATTGCTTTCATTCATAAATAATGTGTGGCGCATAGTGTGCAGTGTAGAGACAAATTCTTAGAAACACACACAAAACTTATAAGTGCGAGGTTTCAAAAAATGCTAGGCAGTCCCTAGGTGGCTGACCTGGCATAGGGTGCCTAGCACCTAGTTGGGTGCCTAGCACCTAGTTGGGTGCCTAGAACTTGAGGCACTTTGAGGTGACAAATTTTCATAAATAAGCATATATGTGCTGTACAAATGCACAAATAAGCAGATATTTGTTTCAATTTCGTATTTTCTTGCATTTATATATATTCTAACTAACTTTATGTAAATATATCCACATGAATGTTGAAAAATGTTTAAACCTTCAAATTTTTAAAAATTTAATGAAAAACATAAACAATTCCATAGTGTATTAGTCTCCAACTCTCCATACTCCCTACAGTCATACAATCATCGTACACAATAGTAAACAATAGTAAGTAAGGCTAAACTCAAGGCATATGATAATCTATATGGTAAATGGGGAATAAGAAAAGGTGAAAAAAATGTTTTCAAGTTGGCAAAAATGAGAGAGAGAGAAAGTGTAGGGATCTAGACTACATAAAATGCATTTAGACTGAGGATCAAAGGGTCTTGGTGAATGATGAAGATGTCAACAAAAGGTGGAGAAATTATTTTAAAAAATTATTAAATGACAAACACAATTGGAATACAGCGGTAGAAGTAACCGTTGACATAGATGAGGGCAGGGCGGAGGTCATAGATACATTCATAAGATTAGAATATCAAAAGTGAAAGAAGCGTTGATGATGATGAAGATAGGAAATGCTTTAGGACCAAATAATATCCTGATAGATGTTTGGTAGTGCATGGGGGAGATCGACATTGACTGACTGACCAAGTTGTTCAAAAAGGTCTTGAGAATAAAAAAAATGCTAGCCGAAATGAGGAAAAGTATTATGATACCTATTTACAAGAATAAATGATATATACAAAATTGTGAAAACTATTGTGGGATCAAACTTATGAGCCACACACTATGAAGCCATGGGAGAGAGTGATTGAGCAATAACTAAGGCATGAAACGGGTGTATCAGAAAGCCAATTATGTTTTATGCGAGGGATATGAACAATTGAGGCTATTTTCCTACTTGGCAACTGATTGAGAAGTTTAGGGCGAAAGAAAAAAACATCCACATGGTCTATATTGATCTAGAGAAAGCTTATGATAAAGTACCACAAGATTTAATTTGGTGGGTGTTGAAAAAGAAAAGAGTTCAGATACTATATGGACTTGGTGAGAGATATGTATGAGGGAGTGCTAACTAGTGTCTGAATAACTAGTGGAGAGATGGGTAAGTTTTATGTGACAATAGGTCTACATCAGGGGTCAACGTTGAGCCTATACCTCTTTGTCGTAGTTATGGAGGATTTAACTAGGCACCTGCAAGATGAGGAACCATGGTGTATGTTGTTCGCAGACAACATAGTTTTGATTAATGAGAAACAAAGTGGTGTCAACACATAGTTGGAACTTTGGAGGAATGCTTTAGAATCTAAAGGTTTCAAAATTAGTCGGACTAAGACAGAGTAAATGGAATGCAAATTTAGTAATAATAGGAGACGAGGAAGTAGTTAAGATTGACAACCAACTACTAAAAAGGACGTATTTTCGATATCTTAGGTCAATGATCTAGGAAAATATAGAGATTGAGGAAGATGTCACGCATAGAACTAGAGCTGGGTGAGCAAAGTGAAGATGTGCAATCGGAGTTTTATGTAGTCGCCGCATTACCAATGAAGCTGAGGGGGAAGTTCTATAGGACAGCTGTGAGACCAGCTTTGCTTTACGGAGCGGAATGTTGGGCAGTCAAGAAACAACATACCCATAGGATGAGTGTAGCTGAGATGAGGATATCGAGATGGATGAGCGGCAATAAAAGAAGGGATCAAATTCAAAATGAATGCATTCGGGAGAACCTAGGTATAGCTTTGATAGGCAATAAGATGAGAGAAATTAGACTTTGGTAGGTTGATCATGTGCAGCACAAATCCAGTATAACACCTGTTACGAGGTGCGAGTTGGTTTAAGTGGAAGGCTCAAAAAGGATAAGAAATAGGCCCAAAAGACATGGTTGGAAGTAGTGAGGCGAGATATGAGGACTTATGGCCTTATTGAGGGTATGACGCTTGCTAGAGCATAATAGCGGGCTAGGATTTGTGTAGCCGACCCCAAATAGTTGGGAAAAGGCTCTAATGATGATGATGATGACATATGTTTTTTGACCTATTAAATGATTTGTTATTTATGACATCATTAGCATCTTGAGTTATCAAAAATGTCAATCTTGGTGGGGTAGCATTGGGATTTATTGAAGGCTTTTATCCTAATGGTAACTCAATGGTGGATCACTACAACTTGCATCTGTAATTCTTCATCAACTCCTTGCATCTCTTGCTCAAACTTTAGCTCTGGAAATTGTACTTAATGTATTTTGAAGCCCTTAAGTAATCATGGGAGCAACAAGTTGGTATAGGGTGGTGGATGAATTGCTAAAGTGGAGTATGGCTTTCGTTCTGTATTGCAGCCTTGATTCTTTGGATTGGCTCATGAACAGGTACTCGTGGGATCCAATACTAGAAAGGTTAACAGTCCACTCTAAACCTGGCAATTGAAAAGCCAGGTATTGTCATTTAGGGTAGAACCACACTTGTGATTTGTGAGTGCTGCATGCTTCATGCTTCCCCTCTATCTTATTTCATTTCGGCATTCTTGAGAGTTTTTTTTGCTAGTCCTTCCAGGATGTGGTGTGTAACCTTGAAAAGTTCAACTGTGCTGGATAGTGCATCTAGTCCCATGGAAAGAATTTGTTATACCTAAGAACATTAATACCAAAGCATTGGTAGATACGCATTGGTCATGAATTGGTCCACACTCTCTATTTGGCTTTTGGCACAGAAGTGTTGATGAAGGTTTGTGGAAGGTATTAAATGTGAACAATGTGTTCTAAGTAAGGCTTGAAAGTTTGGAAAGGAGCTTGACTAAAAGGTAATAGAAGCTTGAAAACTTCAAGGTCGATTCGAGTAGCCAATGGTTTCGATGGGAACCAAATTTTTGGGTAGTGGGAAGCAGCTTGGGTTTTAGAAGGATAGGTGTGGCAGGGGAGACTTGTATACAAATAATTCATCAACAGCGATGGTAGCTGAATCCAAGCCTGAAGAATATTATTTTGGAGCATTTATAGTTTTATTCTAGTTCGTTCTCCTTCTTTATTGTTTTTTTTAGGAAGTAGATGCTAGCTTTCTCAGTAGGAATATTGAAGATGAGGGCTTAGATGTGTTGTTCACACAGTTATGCATCCTTCAATATTGTAAGAAAGTGAAGCTGAATGTCACTGCTATTTTGCAATGAAATGCTTGGATTTTTATTAAACGTATGTATGGGAGCCATAGCAGGTGTGAGTGGATGATTATTGCTGTGGACATGACTTAGAGGAGGGAGGATTCTCCTAGAGTTTTGCGTCTTACTGGTTGGCCTTTGAGAGGATGGTTTTATTGTTAATAATGTAACGATGAACTTAAATTCCTGCATATTCTCCAAATATGTTACAAGAAAGCAGGGGGTCATCTTCTTCAGTTTGAACTGTTCTGGGGTGGTCACTAATTTGCTTGTTGTTGCTTTTTGCATGGATGATGGTCGTATATAAAACAGGATCGATCCTCTGATGGTGGTGCATCCTTGATGATGATGGTGGATTCGGATAGAAATAACAGGGAAATTATAAGATAAAACCTTCCCAAATTTCAGCACTTGAAGTATAGCCCCACTTTTAGTTTGTTTAAAGCAGCATAGTCATTTCGAA